TCCAGTCCAAATAATAATAACCTGAATGGCATAAGAATTTAGTTACAGAATTATCAGAAAACGATTTTTACTGTTTAGCCGAACCGAATTGAACATGACTAATTGAAATTAATATACTCCAAAACTCAAAAAAACTGGAACCGAACCAAACTAAACCAAAAATAAAACCGAATTAAAAGTTTTTAAAAAGGTAGGTAGGAGAAAATCCTATATATATTAAAGAAAAATTACCAAAAAAACAGTTTCGATGGGTCAATTTTCTAAAATATCATTGTCCATTTCAAAAAATATCATTAATTAAATATTTTTAAATCCTAAATCTTAAAATTCTAAACCTTATAAAATTTTTTGATCCCCAACAAAACATAAACCCTCAAAACTAAACCATAATACAGCATAATTAACTCAAATATAAATAATATATTGAGTATATGGTTTTTAAAAAATGATATTTTTGAAAAATAACATTTCAAAAGTGGCAGTTCTTAAAAATTTTCATATACTAATTGATGAGACACTAAGTGAAAAAAAATCTTATGTGTCACTCATCGAGAATTTTAAAGCACACATCAATCAAATTAACCAATCAAAATATTTCCATCAATTTTATATGCCATATTAGAAATCTCTATATATTTTAATTAATTTTTTAATATGAGCTAACTAATACATATGGTACTAATTTAAATCCAACTAGAATATAACATTTTCATATTTTAAACTTTATATAACACTAGATGAAGGATCCGCATATATGCGGGTTTGTGATTTAATATTTTCTAAATTTATAAAAAATAAAATATTTTCTAAATCTATAGAAAATAAAATATTTAATTGTGGTGAACAAAATTAGATCACCCATTAACATAAATAAAATTAAAGTATGAATGTTACTGCAAAACATTAATCGAGAAGAATATCATTTATTTATTAATTTTTATGTTTTTATTTGATTTAGAATTAAATTTTATCACATTTTTTGAAATTATTAATTTTTCTTAGTCCTATTTTAATTTGGTAATTTTTTTTTACTTTTAATCTTATTTTACTATTCAAATATCTATTTTTGAAAATAATGTCACATTACAAAAATGCCATATTTTATATGAATATTTGCAAGAATGCCACTTAGGGGTGTCCATTTGCAAAAATGCCACTAATTATAGATTTATAAAGTCTATATCTTAAAATTCTAAACCCTAAAAAATGTTATGATCCCTAAAACCCCCTAAACCCTCATAACTAAACTCTAATAGAACATAATTAACCCAAATATAAATAATATAAGGAAAAAATAATTTTGAAAAAGTGGCTTTTTTGTAAAGATTTCAAAAGTGTGACATTTTTGTAAAATAGCACTTGAAAAGTGGTATTTTTTGAAATTTCTCAAAATAATGATGGATTATTTCTCATATTTATATTTGAACCATTTTTACTTTTGAATATTTATGACTTGCAAAAATCAAAGACGAAAAGATAGAAGACAAAATTAGATCACTCCATTTAAATAATAAAATAATATTAAAAACGTTATTACAAAATCATTTATAGAGAAATGTAACAAATATTTATCTATTGTATTCTTATTTTTTTTATATTGTTTGATTTTCAACTAAATTATATCACATATTTAAATAGTTAAATATTTCTAATCCTATTTAAAGTAGGATCACATTTTACTATTTATCAAATCAAGATATTATTTTAAACAGATAAATATTTTGAAATGTGGCTAAATCTAATTAAAAAAATATATTTTATAGTTGTATAAATCTAACTGATTAACTCAAACATGCCTGATAAGATTAACTAACTTGTATAAAAATCAGAATTTGCAAAATAAATTAATTTTACTATTTTAATAATTGTTAAACGTAAAAAAACCAAACAAAAAGTAGAAAAATAAATTAATACACCTCATATCAATGTTGTCAACAACAAACAAAAAATCGAGTTAAAATAAATCATATTAAGTCAGAAAAAAATAATGTCGTATTCTATTGCACATATCAAAAATATAATAATCGATATTTTCTGATTAAAAACCAAAAAAAATAAGTTTTATAAAAAATATTATTGAAGTTTTAAGAGCACAAAAGTATGTAAATAAATGTAAAAATTTGGATATTTAAACTTAAATCTATTCAAGCTAAAAAAAAAGTTACATGAATATTATAATATCCCAGTAGAAAAAGATATTTGATTTATTGTTTTATCTATTTCAATTTAAAATTAAAATATCTGTTTGATAAATACAAATAAATTTTTATTTATTCAACTAAATTATATCACATATATTTAAATAGTTAAATATTTCTATTCCTATTTAAAGTAAGATTACATTTTACTATTTACCAAATCAAGATATTATTTTCAATAGATAAATCTTTTGAAATGTGGCGAAATCTAATTAAAATATATATTTTATACTTCTATAAATTTAACCGATTAACTCAAACATGCCTCGATAAGATTAATTACCTTGTATAAAAATTCAAATTTGCAAAATAGATTACTTTTACTATTTTAATAATTATTAAACGTAAAAAAACCAAACAAAAAATGGAAAAATAAATTACTACACTTTATATCAATATTTTCAACAACAAACAAAAAATTGATTTAAAATGAATCATATTAAGCTCAAAAAATAATATATATTGTCGTATTCTATTTCACATATCAAAAAATATAATAATCGATCTTTTCTGATTAAAAACCAAAATAAATAAGTTTTATGAAAAATATTATTGAAGTTTTAAGAGCACAAAAGTATGTAAATAAATGTGA